GATATTGGGATTGAACCTATCGACGACGTTGGTCCACAAGATATCCCACGCTGTAGTGGTCACCACCGGCTTGTCAAACGAAGTCGGCAATAGACAATGATGACTTGGTCGACCGCCATCCGGTGACTCGTGATGCTCTTCGAGCTCTTGTGGACAAGGTCTGTCGCGATCGGGACTCTGCTGGGCATCATGCTGTTGTCGCATACCGCTGTGCGAAAAATCTCGACAGCTTGGAGCCCTTCGTTCACCGATTGCCTCACGTTAAGGGCTATTGTGCTCTATCGGAGCGAACCTTAGTCGTTGAGCAGACGAATGTGTCACTTCGAGCGACGGCGGGGCGCCTGGCGCCGTTGGAGCTGGAGTTGGAGATCAATGCGCTCCATGCTCAAAACCAGTTTCTGATTCAGTTTCTGGGTAGTCGAGCGCCTATGGGACGCCGCCCAGGCGCCGACGCTTCCGCGTTCACTTGCGCCAGATCCCGACACGGCCTGAGCAAGCCCACATAAAACACCGGAGGGGTGCGCTTTTTTCTCGGAAGGTTTAGTGTATACGATAGGACCCGCTTGAACACGACCATAATAGGTCCGATATACCGTGGAAGGAAATACGTCGTAAAGACGGCAGAGACGGCATGTGTAGGAAAGTTTTCGCATTTAATGAAAGCAGGTATCCGACCTCAACGTTTTCAACCGTGAGGGATCAGTCGTCAGCTAGCCGCTCGGCTATTCCTCCCCCACCTAGCTGTGAGCCATGGGATGGCGGCGTCAGCGGGACGAGAGGATGAATGAGCCCGATCACGTAGAACGGCGTGTAGCCGGTAGACGCAAGCACTGCATTGTTCAGCGCAACCTCTACAAGTGGCAGCATGGTGCTCCAGTACATCGACGTCTCAGCGTAGACGTTTCGAAGGACGTTTTCTACGACGTGAGTCAAGTGCTCGGTTTGACCATCGGTCCGCTTTTGGCATATCTAGCCTAGTGTCCGGCCACCTGAAAATTGAAGACCAGACCGTCGATGGTGTCCGGCACTGCCGCAAGATGAGCTATCTTGCTCAAGTGGCCCACAAAGACCACTTTACCTGTGTTGCCCGCTAGGCCCTTCGGCAATCCAAACACAAAGTCCATACTCATGGACTGCCAACACCCGGATGTTACCGGTAAACTGGCCAGCGGCGCCGAGCATTTGGATAGGGTTTTACCCTCTGTCACGCCTAAACGTGCACAAAATGTGCTCGTCCATTTGTACAACTTGGGCCACCAATAGTGGCGGCTCACCGAGCTGTACGGGTGTCGTGGGCCTCATAGAGAAATTAGTATTTCAAATCCTCACCGTGAGGGACCACAATTCTTGGCGTAGCCATTGAATCGGTGCTATATTTCATCAATCCGTTATTAAAAGAATATCAGTGTACCTGTGAGCGCAGTCGCGACGACCCTTGTCCGAGCTTCCAAACTCCTAGCTCCCGACGGCCGCCTCGGATCAAATCCGTAACAGACGACGTCAGCATCGTGACATTAGCAAGCTCATAATTCGGTCTGCGTGACAACGCATCAGCCAAAGCATTATTCTTTCCTGGCTTATACCTCACCTCAAAGTCATGATAGGCAAAGGATAAAAGCCCCGAGGCGAATTAGTCGCAGTGCGTAGTGACGTATGATCTGTGTAGATCACAAACGGCTTGGACCCGATCAGCTAGTCCCTGAATTTGACAAGTGCATATTTAATCGCAAGTAGTACCTTGTCGTGGACTGGATAACTCTTCTCTGCAGCCTTGAGCTGGCGAAATTCGAAAGCGATCACCCAATCTCCCCGTGGCGTTTGCTTGCGCACAGCCAATAATAAAGTCCAATGCGTCACAGTCGACACTAAAAGGACGACTGGGGTCCGGCAGCGCAAATATTGGTGCATGAAGGATACTGTCTTCGACCCCGTCAAAAGCCTCCCGATGCTTGGTGTCACAGCACGATTCTGCAACCCTTTTAAGAAAATTGGACAATGACCGTGCCATTTGGAGTCCTTGCTGTACATGTGAAAGTATGGGCGAAGCCAAACCACTTGCGCAAGTCCTTTTGGTTCTTCGGAACGAACCACTCCACAATGGCCTTGCAGTTAGCTAAATTTGCTCGAAGGCCACGCTTCCCGATGAAGCACCCTAAAACGGGAGTTTCTTCGGCATCGAAGAGGCATTTGTCCACATCTTTTTCGTGCTCATCCACTCGAGAGCCGCTCTTTAATTGACAGTGTGGTTTCTTCATCCGTCCTACCATGCCTCGCACGTCTGTGGACGACGATATCGACAAAGTATGTCTGTGCATACGACCGGAAGGGTCTAAAAATGCGTC